ATAGGATCATATCAAATTTAAAGGACATCGATATGAGAGTAGAAGATGAGGATCAAGCACTTCTGTAACTTTTTTCTTTACCGAAGTCTTATGAGAACCTAGTACAAATATTGATGCTTGTAGGTGACAATTTGAAAATGGTTGAGACTAGAATGGCGCTTCTAGATGATCTTCGAAAAATTGCAACTAGTGACATGGCTACTAATGGTAACAAGAAGCAAACACAGGGATTGTTTGTAAGAGGAAGGGGCAATGAGCGAGAAAAAGGCAAGGGAGGAAAGCCTAGATCAAAATCGAGACCTCTTGCAGGAAGACCATATTTTAAATGCGATGAGCTTGGGCATTTTAAGGTTGACTTTCCTAACGAAAGAGTAGGTGGGAAGAAAAACAACAATAAAACCGAGAGAAGAGAAGGCAGGGAAGAGGCAAGCTATGTCTCAGAGGAAGGGAGCGAAAAAGAATGCTACACCTGTTACGTGTGGTGAAGATACCTCCGGTAAGTGTACTCCTTATTTGGTTTGTTCTTACCATATGTGTCCAAGTAAGAAGTGGTTTACTGCCTAGAGGAGCATTGATGGTGGAACCGTATTAATGAGGAATAACCATGTTTGTAAAACGGTAGGGTTTGATGATATCAAAATCAGATGCATGATGGAGTTGTCAGAACCATGACGGAGGTGAGGCATGTTCCCGACTTGCGGAATAATCTTATCTCAGTTGGTGCTTTGGATTCCGGTGGTTGCAAGATAATTACAGAGAATGGAGTGAAGAAGGTTATTCGAGGTTCCCTGGTAGTGATGAAGGACATTCGTCACGGTAACCTATATACTCTCTCGGGTACAACAGTGACAAAAGATGCAGTGGTTGGAACTGATGGAAGTGGTAGAGACCCATGTGAACACACTCGGTTATGGCATAAGCGACTTGGGCACATGTCAAAGAAGGGTCTAGATCTTCTAGGTAAGGAAGGTTTGCTGTAGAACATGAAGAAACCTTGCATGGATTTTTGCGAGGTATGTGTGTACGGAGAGGAATGTATTAAAGAACTAGTTTTTAGGTTTATTTTTTAAGAGAACAATGTATCTCTATGCAGAAGGCAATCTACATATTTATAATGAGATGAAAAAGGGTATTTGAGTAACTTCGGCCGGTCTTATTCAGCCGGCTTAGTCAGCCAATATTTTATACATGTTGCCAGCTAGCGATCCGAGTCATCCTTGTATTTAATGTGGCAGGGACAGAGCGGCTAAAGTGCTGGTGTGGTCTGAGGAGTCATTATGACTTCGGCAGGGATGTAATGATGGCTGCGACTGTGCATTTAATGGGATGATGATTAGTTGACGTCACTGGGATAGATAAATGTAAGACCCCGTAGATTTTTGAGTATGTATATGTACATCAGTAATGAGGTTGAGTGTGTAAGATTTCAAATCATATGCAGCAGAGTCATAGTATGCAGTTTCTAGTCCATGAGTCGACTCATGACTGTCATGAGTCGACTCACGAAATCGAGTCCTGTTGTTATTTAGTCTCTGCTGAGTCGACTCATTATATCATGAGTCGACCCATGAGTCATGAGTCGACCCATGACTGTCACGAGTCGACTCATCGGAGTCTTTCTGGTTTTTCTGGGTCGGGTCTGTTGGGTTTCGGGTCGGGTTTTATCCACTCGTATATATTCCCCTCTACCCGAAAACACTTCATTTTCATCAGTTCTCCCCAGAAACCCTAGACTCTCTCTCTCTCCTCTCTAAAACCCTAGGCGTTCTTGGTGATTTTGGGACGTTTCAAGGGATTGTTCGGCAGTTTCTTTTGGATTGCAGCGAAGGGGATTGTTCATCATCACTTCTAAGGAGAGTAACATCTCGCCCAACCCTTCTCCCATGTTTTTAATAGTTTACAACTGTTTTCCATAAGTTTTATTGAGCCTAAGACTTATTTTCAAGTATAAATCAATATCATTGTTAGGGTAAATGTTAGAAATCATGTATTTCGGATTTAAATCCCCACCAACAAGTTTTTGATGAAAAACCAGATCTGGAATTTTATTTAAAGAAATAAAAAATATTGAGTTTTTATTGTTTAAATGCTTCCTTTTATGTATATGAGTAAATTGTTAGATTTAACTTATAAGTATTTGTTTCTCATCCTATATGTGAATTTCTCACTGTATCATAAATCTAAAATTTAATACCTATAGAGGTGTAGATCAGTATAATGGAAGGATGGATCGAGTTGGAGAATTCTAACTTGCGATATATGCAGATTTCTGCCCGTAAGTCGACTCACGACTCATCATGAGTCGACTCATCAGGTTGAGTCGACCTATGACTGTCATGAGTCGACTCACGAAGTCTAGTTGTGTTGCCTTTTTGCTTCTGCTGAGTCGACTCGTCAGTATACGAGTCGACCCATAAGTGTATACTGTGTTTACATATTCAAGAGTACTATCTATCACGTTTGGACTTGAGGAGTGCCTCGTTTTTTTGAGTATTTATTTGTAGTGAATATGATTTTACCTATACATGTGAGATGACCCTTTCGGACACAAGTTTGGGTTAGTACAGTAGGGTGTGTACGGGAATAGGACATGCATTCTTTCTTATACGCGGTCCTTGTGTTGGACTATAAACCATTAAAGTCCTCGTGTTAGACTATAATCCATTAGAGTCATCGTGTTGGACTATAATCCATTCTTTATATATATATATATCATGTTTTAGACTTTTGCTAAACTTTGAGCATGTTACTTAACCGAGTTGGGTTCGCGACTATATATATATCATGTTTTAGACTTTTGCTAAACTTTGAGCATGTTACTTAACCGAGTTGGGTTCGCGACATATTGTATTAGGCTGGGGCATGATAGCTACCTAGGTTGTACATGACACCTACTGTAGCTTGTTCATGTTTACACTTTATGGGTAGAGATAGGTATGTATTCTTTTCTTTATCTGTTTTCTTATGACCAACCTCGGGTTTAAATATTTAGGGATCTACAATTTGAGATACAAGGTATATACATGAGGGTTTCCTTGTTTGGATTATTTCGCTCGACGTACCTATGCTCGTGTTGTATTTTCCTAAGTACTAAAACCCATTAATGTTTACGTAAATGATTTATATTATTATGTATTAACTGTATTTTCATGTACAACGAGCCCTATCCCTTGGGGTTGGTTGTGATGTTGCTCGCTAGCGCTTTGACGCTCGTTGTCCCTCCCCCTTTCAGGTAACGAGCCAGGAGCCCGAAGAGTCGCAGGTTGATGGCGATGTACTTTAGCTTCAGCCGTCTTTTTAGTTATATTTTCTTTTGAGCTCCACTGTAGATTTTTTGTGTAGACATGTGAGAGTCTTATTCTAGAAGTTGTAAAGGCCGCGTGCCTTATTTTCTCTTGTCAGACATTTTGTATTTGAGACTTGATGAGAACTCCAGTTTATTTATTTCAGACATTTATTTGTATTCCAACATATTAGATGGTGAAATATTAATTTGATCTCTATTATTTCATCAGTTGATTCTTGTATAACTTTTTACTTGCTTTGTACTACACTTGTTGTTGATTCCACCAGAGTATGCGAACTTATACTGAATTAGGCAAGGAATGGTGGGCAGAAGCGATGGCTACAGCTTGTTATATTATGAACCGTTCTCCACATTCTACACTGGATGGTGATACACCCTATAGGATGTGGTCAGGAGAGCATGCATAGTATGAGAGGCTTAGAATTTTCGGATGCACCGCCTATTATCATGTCAACGAGGAAAAGCTTGACGTGAAGAGCAAGAAGACTATATTCTTAGGGTATGCAAAAGGTGTAAAATGCTACCGTCCTTAGTGTACAGAAGATTTGAAGTTCGTGATCAGCATGGATATTATCTTTGATGAGAAATCCATGATTGCTAAGGCGCCTAAGGATGATGGTGTTGGGACTGTTGGGACTTCAAAGTCCCAGGTTATTGAGATAGAACATAAAGACCAAACAGGTTCTAGTCATGTTCAAGTGGGAAATCAGGTAGATGATGAGCTTGAGTAGGAGGAGGTTCAATAGGAGAATACACATGTACTATAATAACAACAGCTCGATGATAGTTTGATTTTCACTAGGCCAAAGCGGGCATACAAGCAGGGATTGAAGCTGGGGGCTGATCAACCCCTGAAGCATTATGGGAAAGTTAATTTGGTAGAATATGTACTCTCGGTAGAGGAAGATGAGTCGGTCTACTTTAAGGAAGCTATTCCAGACAATGATAGTGAGAGTTGGTTGGCTGTGATAGAGGAGAAGATGGAATCTCTTCGAAAAAACCAAATATGAGAGGAGGTCCCATTGCCCGTAAGAAAAAACCTATCGGTTGTAAGTGAGTTTATAAGAGAAAGGAAGATCCTTCAGAGCTCGGTGGTACAAGGTACAAGACGAGGCTAGTAGCTAAAGGGTTTGCACAAAGAGAGGGTGTGGATTATAATGAGATCTTTTCTTCGATGGTAAAACACACTTCTATGCGGGTGCTATTGAGTATTGTTGCTCATGGTGATCTTAAACTGGAACAACTCGATGTAAAAACGGCCTTCTTACACAGAGACTTGGATGAAGAGATCTACATGTATCAACCTGAGGGCTACAAGGCTAAGGACAAGGAGAATCATGTGTGTCGCTTGAGGAAGTCACTCTATGGATTAAAGTAATCTCCTCGGCAATGGTACAAACGATTTGACTCCTTCATGCTGAAGCATGGGTTTTTCCAAATCGATTATGATTGTTGTGTTTACATTCGAAAGCTTCGTGGAGGTGATTATATCTATCTTTTTTTGTATGTGGATGACATGTTTATTGCTTCTAAGAGCAAGGTGGAGATAGATTGGTTGAAATCTTAACTTGGTAAAGAGTTCGAGATGAAGGACATGGGCGCTGCAAGAAAAATATTGGGTATAGAGATTAGAAGAGAGCGGGCGAATTAGTGATTATTCTTGAGTCAGAAGGGCTACATAGAGTGGGTGATCATGAGATTCGGGATACAAAGTGCTAAGTCGGGGGTAACTTCATTGGCTCCATACTTCAGGCTTTCAGGTAAACAATCTCTCACTATAGTAGAAGAGAAGGCACACATGAAGCGTGTTCCTTATGCTAGTGCAGTTGGCAGATTGATGTACGTCATGCTATGTACACGCCCAAATATTTCTCAGGTGGTTAGTGTGGTCAGCAGATTCATAGTGAATTCAGGAAAGGCATATTGGGAAGCGTTGAAGTGGGTCCTGAGGTACTTGAAGGGTACTGTTGACACAGGTCTGTGTTTTGATGGAGATACGTGTCAGATTGATGAGTTTGTTGACTCAGATTATGCAGGCAATCTAGATAGATGACGATCTATTACTGGTTACGTATTTAGGATACATGGGGCTCCAGTTAGTTGGCAATGAATGTTGCAGACTACAATGACACTTTCTACTACAGAAGCCGAGTACATGGCCATGGCGGAGGGAGTGAAGAAAGCATTATGGTTGTGGGGTCTTCTAGATAATTTGGGAATTAAACAGGAGAATGTGAACTTGTGGTGTGACAGTCAGAGTGCAATTCACTTGGTGAAGAATCAAGTTCATCATGCTCATACCAAGCATATCGATATCAGGTATCATTTTGTGCGAGATGTCATAGAGAAATGTGATATTTCTCTCATGAAGGTGCATACGAATGAGAATCCCACAGACATGTTAACCAAGATGGTCACATGTAAAAATTTAAGCATTGCTTGGACTTGTTTCATATCAGACTGTGTTGATTTGCCTAAGAGTGCATGGCCCTTCGAGGCGGTGATGGGGTGAGGTGGAGACTATATAGGGAACAAATAGCAGAACTACAGTTTGCTTGATCCCGGTGGAGAGTACGTAGGCAGTCACGGTATGGTGGCGCAGCTAGTTTGGCCTGGTTTAGTATGGTTTGGTGTTTCAGATCCCTCTGGTGATGTTCGCGGTGTTCTTCTAGTGTTCGTCTAAAATTTAAGGTTTGTCAAATGATGTACGAGGTGGAGAATTGTGAACGGAGGACATGTGTAGCAGGCCTAGGGCCCACTCGAGATATATGTATAACAATACATGTATCTCGAGAGGGGGCCATGCCCACGTGATCGTGGGCGGCCACACCCACTTGGGTATCTTGGAGACACCTCGAGACACCAGCGGGTTCTCCTGAACCGCGTCCTATAAATACCCATGCTTGGGTTTTTAGCGCGGGAAAAAAACATAGAGAAATAAAAATGGCAGAGGGTTTTATTTTGGCTCCAGAGAAGAAAACAAATGTTTTTTGGTGGTTAGAAAAGAGAGATCTTGAGGAGAGAGTTTTGGAGGGATTTTACAAGAGAGAGGTAAATTTCTTTTGGGAATCAAATCTTCTTATTTTGAGACGAGCTTGTGGATTGTACAAGTCGTCGGTGTTCTCCTCATAGTCGAATCTCCCCTCACCCCTCCCATGGACATAGGTAAGTTTGCCAAACTATGCAAATCTCATGTCTTTACTATTTTCTGGGTGTTGGCTATTGCTTGTAGGTTCCCTCGATAATTCAGTCCTAGAACTGATGAGAGGAAGAGTGTATATCTCACTTTATTGAGATATTTCACTTTCTATTCTTATTTTCTTTGTGAAACATGAATATAAAGGTTGTCTTGAGCTTTTGTGAAAATAAAAGTCAGAGCTTTCTCTCAGACAATATTGCTTCCACGGCGTGAGAGCGTGATTCTGTGCCCAACAGTCTTAAAATAGTAATATCTCACAAATATGGAGTGATATTTAATAAATTCTTTCTCTACCATGTTTATCTACATGTTTAGAAACTTCGCTCAAAATTTTATGATTTTTGGATTTGATTTGCTATTTTTAATTAATTTTAGAAATTAGATTTTCTGGTTTTTCTTGTTCTGAGAATAGTGTCGGTTGACCCATTGACCTTTATTGGTCGACCCATCGGCCTATATTTCCAGAATCTGTGTTTCTCTCATTAGTCAACTAATATCTCTCAACCGGACGACCGATGACCTTCTTTCGGTCGACCGACACATGAAAATCAGTCGACTGACTAGAGATCTGTTGTAGTTAACGACTAGTTTTCTAGAATCCATTTTTTGCGGGATTTGCCTCATTTTTGTCTGTTTTCTTGGCTTTGGGCTGTTGTCTTGAGTTCATATAGATACTCCTCAGCCCTCAACACTTACGCTATCAAAAAAAGTTTTAAAAGAAGTTTAAGGGTGTTTTAAAGTTTGTTTAAGTGTGTTTTCATAATTATTTTGTGAAGAGAGTTTCACAAGAGGAGGAGATTTTTTCATCTCCTGTTTGAGCTTCAATTTCTCATCTCCATCGCTCTTGATTCTTAGAGAAGTTTTTCTAAACGTATCTTCTAGCATATTCATATTTTGAGCCTCCCTAAAATACCCCCGCCTTCAACTCCGTGCCTCGAAAACGAGATCCGATCGCTGGCGAAACCTCTCCGTCGCATTTAAGGCGAGATGATGGCCGTTTTGGGGGGAAATTTTGGCGCGCTCCCTCCGTTATATCTCCTGTTAACCCACTCGGCTTTGAAGAGAGTGTATTTATGGTGCAAAGGGCAGATCTTTGCGGTTAGGGCTTATGATCTTCAGCCCCCTACTTGTCCTAAAGTGCCCTTCATAACTCCTCTTAAATCCCCTTCATTTATGGCGGAGAGCCCCCTTATTTGCATGGTTTCCTTGGGTGAGAGAGCAGTGTTCTCAAGGGTAACTTCTGCAACCTCTTTTTTTGAGTTTAAGTTCGACGTGGCTGAGAGGTTGAAGGTTCCTTATGATGCGCTATCAATGGTTTATAAATCTGAAAGGATCCCTGATCTGAGTTTTGAGATCGAGAATGAGGATGATATGGAGTGTATGGTGGAGCACAACCGTAATATCGGGTGTCTGGAGATCCATATTCGAGCTAATATAGATGTAGATGTTTCCAGATGTGAGAACACCCCGAAGCAACCTCCTGAAATGTAAGTTATATTTACACTTAATTTATTTGAAAACTTATGAATTGCATAGAGCAGGTTAAATGTTAGCTTTTAACTGATATATGTTAACTTTCTACCGAAGGTTGTTAAGCTTTAGGGCATATTTGTTAACTCTTAAGGGTACTGCATTATTTAAGTACAAGTCCTATTTGTTATTTTAAGAAAAACCAATTATATTTGTGCAGCATTATGAATACACTGAAGCCAAAGTTTATTGATAGTACTTCTGCCGCAAACCATGGTTCTGAAAGAATTCCAATTGATAATCCCAGTGGTAGCAGTGTAGTGCGTTCTGATGACATTATTAACAACACAGTAATGATTCCTGGTTGGTGGCATAATGCATTAACTGAAGAGGGTCAAGAATTTGAAAGTGCTGAAGAATTAAGGTTGGCGCTGACATACTATTCTCTGGCCAAAATGTTTGATTATGAGTTTAAAAAGAACGAACCAAAACGTATCCGTGTATATTGCCGATATAAAGAAACTTACGAGTGCCCATGGATGTTGTTTGCTTCACCTGTTAAGAATGCAAATAGACTATCGATCAAGAAGTTTGTTAATGAACATACTTGTGGGCAGTACGGGCAAAATACAGGTCGTTCAAGGGCATCCCGTAAATTCATTGCAACACAGTTACAACCACTCCTGAAGGTCCGTCCAGAAATCCGACCCGTTGATGTGCAAAAGGAGTTCCTCACAAACTACAGCCTTAGAATTAATTACAGTAAGATATGGTGGGGGAAAGAGAGAGCACAGGAGAAGCTTTACAGGGATATATATGAGTCGTATGATCAACTACGATGGTAAATGCTGAGCTTTATTATTAACTTGTTAAGTTTCAAAGTTTGCTTGTTAAAACAAATAGTTAACATGTTCCTTGTTAAGTTCATTGATAACATTGATAACATGTTAAGTTTCACCACTAACATGTTAACTTTCTCTGTTACATTGTTAAGTTACGCTGATAATTTGTTAACTTTTGTTAAGTTACCCCAATAATGTGTTAGCTTTTTTTGGTCGCTTGTTAAGCTACACGGATAACATGTTAACTTGTTGGTTTGTTTCTTCTTACACGACTAGGTATGAGCGCATGGTAAAAGAGACAAATCCCGGCAGTTACATACATGTTGACCAGAATGAGGGGAGGTTTTCGAGACTCTTTGTTTGTTATGCTGCATGCATCAAAGGTTTCTTGAGTGGATGCAGACCCCTTCTATTTTTGGACGGTACATTTTTGAAGGATCGATATAAAGGTATTCTCCTCTCGGCCATAGCATACGATGGGAACCAAGGTATATTTCCCTTAGCGTATTGCATATGTGATCAAGAGAATTTGATGAATTGGAAGTGGTTCCTCCAAGGTCTATGGTCCATACTTTATGAGAGGGCTGACCCTTACAATCCTCCCCACCAATTGGTTATAATTTCTGATGCGGACAAAGGAATTAAAGAATCAGTAAAAGAGTATTTTCCAGAAGCTCTACACTCGAGGTGTGTTCTACATCTTGTTGAAAATTTCAGGTTAAAGCTTAAGGACTTGGGTATGAAGTCGAAGGACACTCATGTTCTTGGGAACTTACTCCAAAGTGCTTGTTATAAATACACAATAGCAGAATGGAATGAGTACATGAAAGAGATATATGACATGGATCCAAGGGCATACAACATTGCTATGAACTACTCTCCTGATCAATGGGCAAATGCATTCTTCCCGGGAATAAGGTAACGTTATTTGGCTGTTCTATATCTATGCTAATGTATGAACTTATGCTATTTAGCATGTTATCTTTGGATTTGTTAAATTCTATATCAGAGCTGTTAACTATATCAGAGTTGATAACATGTTAAGTCTTGTTGATAATATGTTGAGTCTCGTGGCTAACATGTTAACTCTTGTGGATAACATGTCAACTCTTGTTGATAACATGTTAACTCTTGTGGATAACATGTTAACTCTTGTTAATAACATGTTAACTCTTGTAGATAACATGTTAACTCTTGTAGAAAACATGTTAACTGTTAAATGTTAACTATTATATGTAAACATGTTAACTGTAATACAAAAAAAATAACTCTATTCAATTATTTGTGTCATCCCTTATTTATAACCTGTTAACTCTTATCTGTTAACCTTTATTATGTTAACCCTATTCAATTATTTGTTAACCTTTATTTGTGACCTGTTATAAAGTTATATATAATTTCAGGTATGGGCACGTAACATCTAATGTCGCTGAGTCTTTTAATAATTGGATAAGGGAAGCTAGAATGCTACGGATTCTGCAAATGGTTGAGCATATCCGTAAACAGATAATGGTTCGAATGAGTAATCGCCGGTTACTTGCAGATAAATGGGTTGGATATCTCTGTCCACAAGCAGAGATGGTGCTTAAAGAAAATATAGAGAAAGGTCGTCCATTGGATGTTAAGCAAGCTGCAGCTGACATATTTGAAGTGCAAGCACATAAAACTACCCGTGTTGATTTGGAGAAGAAGACATGCACTTGCCGTGCTTGGGACGTCATGCGGATTCCGTGTAAACATGCATGTGCAGTCATCTCGTACATGAAGAGAGACATTTACCAATATTGCGATTGGTTTATGTCCATAGAAGCATTTAAAAAGAGCTATGACCCGATTCTCTATCCTATACCAGATTATGAGAAACGAAGCGTGCCAAGGGATGAGATCGAGCTACTTCCACCACATACTATCAAAAGAAATGGGAGAAATAAAACAAGACGTATCAACGATCGAACAGTGTACAAACGACCTTTGAAATGCTCTCGATGCCACTCCGAAGGCCACAACCGCGCATCTTGCAATGAACCGATCGCCGATTGATATGAGTTGCGGATTTGCCGAAACACTTTTGGGTGTATGTAATACTTTTGTAGTTAACTGTTTATATGAACTGAAACATATTTGGGTGTTTGTAATACTTTTGTAGTTACCGGTGTATATGAACTGAAACGTATTTGGGTGTATGTAATACTTTTGTAGTTAACTGTGTATATGACCTGAAATATATCTATGCCAATGTGAATTATAATGATCTTACTTGTGTCTGTAAAGTTACTCAGTTGGATTGTTAAGTTATAGTTAACATATAAAATTTTCTTGGTAGGTTATTAAGCTTCACCTATTACATGTTAACTCTTGTAAATAACATGATGGATAACATGTTAACTCTTGTTAGAAACATGTTAACTCTTATCGCTAATATGTTAACTCTTGTGACAAACATGTTAACTCTTGAACATATAAAATTTTCTTGGTAGGTTATTAAGCTACACCTATTACATGTTAACTCTTGTAAATAACATGATGGATAACATGTTAACTCTTGTTAGAAACATGTTAACTCTTATAGCTAATATGTTAACTCTTGTGGCAAACATGTTAACTCTTGTTGCAAACATGTTAACTCTTGTGGAAAACATGTTAGCTCTTGTGGCAAACATGTTAACTCTTGTGGCAAACATGTTAACTCTTGTTGCTAACATGTTAACTCTTGTGGCAAACATGTTAACTCTTTTGGAAAACATGTTAACTTTTGTGGAGAACATGTTAACGCTTGTTTATAACATGTTAACTTTTGTTAGAAATATGTTAACTTTCTTTGATAACTGTTCTTTGACAAAACAAAACTCTCGTAAGTAACATGTTAACTATTGTTGATTACAAGTAAACTCTTGGTGATAACATGTTAACCCTTGTTGATACATGTAAACTCATGATGATAAAATGTTAAATCTTGTTACCATCATGTTGACTCTTGTAGTTACCGGTGTATATGAACTGAAACGTATTTGGATGTATGTAATACCTTTGTAGTTAACTGTGTATATGACCTAAAATATATCTATGCCAATGTGAATTATAATGAAAATGTTATCTTACTTGGGTCTGTAAAGTTACTCAGTTAGATTGTTAAGTTACAGTTAACATATAAAATTTTCTTGGTAGGTTATTAAGCTTCACCTATTACATGTTAACTCTTGTAAATAACATGATGGATAACATGTTAACTCTTGTTGCAAACATGTTAACTCTTGTTGCAAACATGTTAACTCTTGTGGCAAACATGTTAACTCTTGTTGCTAACATGTTAACTCTTATGGCAAACATGTTAACTCTTTTGGAAAACATGTTAACTTTTGTGGAGAACATGTTAACTCTTGTTTATAACATGTTAACTTTTGTTAGAAATATGTTAACTTTCTTTTATAACTGTTAACTCTTTGACATAACAAAACTCTCGTAAGCAACATGTTAACTATTGTTGATTACAAGTAAATTCTTGGTGATAACATGTTAACCCTTGTTGATACATGTAAACTCATGATGATAAAATGTTAAATCTTGTTGCCATCATGTTGACTCTTGTAGTTACCGGTGTATATGAACTGAAACATATTTGGGTGTATTTAATACTTTTGTAGTTAACTGTGTACATGAACTGAAATATATCAATGCCAATGTGAATTATAATAATTCCTGTTAATTCTTGTTGAAAACATGTTAACTCTTGTGGAGAAAATATTACCTCTCGTGGAAAACATGTTAACTCTTGATGCAAACATGTTAACTCTTGCTGCAAACATGTTAACTCTTATGGATATTATGTTAACTTTTGTTGGAAATATGTTAACTTTCTTCGATAACATGTTAACTCTTGTTGCATACATGTTAACTCTTGTGGCATACATGTTAACTCTTGTGGCAAACATGTTAACTCTTGTGGCAAACATGTTAACTCTTGTTGCTAACATGTTAACCCTTGCTGATAACATGTTAACCCTTGTTGGTAACATGTTAACTCTTGATGATAACTCTTAACATGTTAACCCTTGCTGATAACATGTTAACCCTTGTTGGTAACATGTTAACTCTTGATGATAACTCTTGATGATAACATGTTAACTTTATCCGTATACGGTATTATTTAACAAGTGAACCTGACATGTTATAAACTTTCTCCATATTTAACAAGTGAAGATGACATGATATAATTATTAACTTACGAATCTAACATGTTATAAACTTTCTCCGGGCACTAGTTCATTAGCTGTTAATACACTATACAAGCTGAAAATTATGAAGATTATTTACAGTTGTTTATCTACATAGCATTCTTCCTTAGGCTGTAACATTTGCGGCTCATAGCATTCTTCATTAGGTTGTAACATGTTAACCCTTTCTATTTCTGAATTCCCAGCCTTCTTTTATTAGTTCCGCAGCAAGCCTTGC